GGGTGGCGGCGGAGCCATGCCGCTCCGGCCGCTGCTCGGGGGTTAAATGCTCGTCGTGGTGCCTCTCGTTGCTGCTAGGCCGGTGCAGGAAGGCCAGAGGCTGAAAGCACCTGCAGGTGAGACTAAAGGGGGCTGAGCTGTAAAAGCAGGATAGCAAACAAATGTGTCTCCTCTAACTCAGCAGTGACCCATTTAAATAAAACAATTTTCAGCCGTTTCCTGTAAAACATCTTGGCTGCCCTGGGAATTAATACTTCCTACTGATGTGAGATGCTTTCAGGCTTTTTTCCCCAGCTTCTTTCTGAAGTGAAATTACCTTTCCCAGATATTTTAGTGATGAATGTCTTTCAAACCTTTAGTGGTAGAGAATTGATGGTGTTTACCTGCATATGTTTCTGTTCTTTAGGACTCCCACCCTTGTTACATGGGGTGGTGTAGCTGGGACAGGTGTAATATGGTTCACAGACTGGAAGCTGGTCCTTCAGTATGTTCCCTACATCGGAGGCAAGTACAAAAAAGAAGACTGAGCTTCCCTGCTTCCCTCTAATGGTAAGTCTTGTTTGTGTGTTTGTTTAGATTGAGTTGTGTGGCAGTGACAGTTGATGTGGCTGTTTCTCCAAGACAGAATCAAATTTTTGGTCTGAAAAATGTGATTATTCAATTTATTTTTTATACAGGGTTTAACAGAGTATCAGAAGGACGAATTATTAATAATGTATTTATTATTAAAGTGATTATTTTGTAAGCTGTGGATTTTTCACAACATAGTGTGATTCTTGACAAATCATCTCAAATCAGAAGTCTCCTGTGGTAATTTGGGAGATCTAGCAGAGCCAATTACATTCTATCCTTAGCTAGAATGTCTTCAAACTTGTAAGTAGTTTTGTGGCTAGGCAAATCCTTGGTGTAACTAAATTATGAAAGAAACTTTTCTTGAGTCAGTTGCAATGGTAGTGTTTCAGGTGACTGTGGATGTTTATGGGCAAGTCAGTGGAAAAAGCTCTCAAGTTATGTAGAAGCAATTTAATTATGTAGTAAGGACTTTTTTTTTAAACTTAAAATTCATCTTAGCCGGTAGTAGGTACATGGATGCATTCCTGAGACAACAGCTTATTTTATCTTTTTTCCAAAGAAAAGCATTGATGTGTTATTGTGCATAAATGATCTGCAAAGAGCATGTTCACGTACAGGAATAGAGTAAGAAGATGTTTCTGTGGCACTTACAGCTTTTTCCAAAGAGACTTAAAAATCTGTGCGCCTGCATTCTGGTAGGTCTTCTGTCAGCTTCTGTAACAGAAACTTCTTGCATAGATATCTGAGGCTTTTGAAATCTATCTGCTGAGTGCTTATAGCACTTTGCAGGAAGTATTGCTTATTTACTGTTTTGTGTTTATTGTAGGAAATTTACTGCTGGACTGAGCGTTTTGGAGCCATCCTTCTGCTGAGACCTTGCCTTGATGTGAACTTGTAACACCCAATAGAGATTCTGCAATGGACTGTAATGTTCTTTTCTCTCCCATGAACTGTTGTGACTGCTTGATTATGAACAAAATAGTCTCACCACCTGTCCAGTGCTTTTTCTGTGATCCCTTTCACAGCATTCTGATGGTAATAACTTATAAAAATGAAGTACAAAATAAACTAAGTGAATGATATTTTTGTATTTTTGTATTTTTATCCCACATTCTTTAGACTCCTATTTTGAGTTTGTATATTATGTCTTCTTCAGCTTGTTCGAATGCATGTATCCTAAAAGGAAGGCGTACTGTGTATTTGCCTTGTTTCCTATGCAGTTTCCTCAGGCATCAACCAGTGGTTGCTGGGATATTAGAGCTGAGATGCTGGGCTTGAGGAGCCTTTGATTTGTCCCAGGGTGGTAGTTGCTCATCACTCTTAATGCTGCTGTACTTCCTGAATCATTCTTTTGTGCAACTTCTTGATGTGTTGATTTTAAGCTAAATGCTACTAGGTCAATGTTATCTGTGGACACTTACATATAATTAACTTTTTATAGCTGATTCCAGAGAGTTGTGTGATAACACTGATTCCAGGCATTTAGTTTAAGGCGTGGTTTTGTTTCTTTTTAACATTGTTTTGTGGACCCCTTAAACTTTCTGATGAGGTGCATGCCACTGTGAAGCAATGTGTGCTGCCTAGAAACAGGCTAGCTTTTCTGACTTACTCTACCCCAGGAAGCTTCCTGGGGTTTGCAGACTACCTTCAATATACGAGAGGGAAAAACAGTGGTTTAGATAGCTGTTGGCTTGCTTTGATATGGGTGTTCAACAGCAAAAACAACATATATCAGTATTTCACAGGTATATTTACATCTCTCAAAACATAAATTGATGATGAAACAATCTGCTAACAGAGCACTTTAATAGCTAAAATACTTTCATATAAAGCAGTAAGAGGATTCTTGGTCTGGTCTCTGCCACCGAGTCACAGCAGAAAACCCAAACTTGCGGGGGGGAAGTTGGGTTCTTTCAGTAAAAGCCAAAATTTGCAAACAAATGTGTGTGTGTGTGAGGATGGAATCTCTGTTTTCTCTTTGTTTTCACTGACAGAATCGTTTAGGTTGGAAGGGACCTCTGGAGATCCATCTAGTCCAACCTCCCTGTTCAAGCAGGGTCACCTAGAGCGTATTGCCCAGTATCACATCCGGACGGGTTTTGAATATCTCCAGGGAAGGAGACTCCACTACCTCTCTGGGCAACCTGTTCCAATGCTCTGTCACCCTCACAGTGAAGAAGTTTTTTTCTCAGGTTTAAGTGGAACTTGCTGTGGTTAAGTTTCTGCCCATTGCCTCTTGTCCTGTCGCTGGGCACCACGGAGAAGAGGCTGGCCTCATCCTCTTGACACTCCCCCTTCAGATACTTGTACACGTTGATGAGATCCCCCCCCTCTCAATCTTCTCTTCTCCAGGCTGAACAGGCCCAGCTCTTGCAGTCTTTCTTCCTAGGAGAGGTGCTCCAGCCCTCTAATCATCTTGGTAGCCCTCCGCTGGACTCTCTCCAGGAGTGCCATGTCTCTCTTGCACTGGGGAGCCCAGAACTGGACACAGTACTCCAGGTGAGGCCTCACCAGGGCTGAGTAGAGGGGCAGGATCACCTCCCTCGACCTGCAAATGTATCCAGTGGAGACAAATGTATCCAGTGGAATGGTACATAACATATTAATCCCATTACACTGTAAATTTATTTCTTCAGTCTGCCCCACGCATCTGTTCCAGCAATGTTCCTGAATCTGGGCTAACTCCTGAAAGGCCAAAGTCATTGTGCTTTGAAATGCTGAGAATATAGGATTGACAAAAGTCAATATATAGATTTTATTTATTACATATAATAACATATGTTAGGTAACCTCTATATATATTATACATAGCAACCAATTATGGTCTGTTTTCATCCAAATCTTGGATGCCTTGAAGATGGATTTCATATTGGCTTGTACTCGCACCTCAAAATCATGAGATCAAGACTTGAACAGTCAGAACCTGTGCTCTTACTTACCTGTTTGACATGTCCAAACAGGTCAGGTGTGATATGCTACTGCTGACTTGAGAAATGAGCTAGTTTTGGCTTGTTCCCATGAGTGGGTGAGTCACCTCTTCCACTGCCGAGAGATCCTTTAGAAAGCCTCAGACTAAGGTTTTTGTGTCTGTTGTTCATTCTTCTAAGGACCCTGGTCTCCTCGAGTTCCACCCTGACTTGAGCGGTGTCCCCTCCTCACACTTTCGGACTAGAGCAGCCACTCTCCCCCAACACCTGCCTAACATGTACAGGCCCCCCACAAAGAGCACCGAGGCGCCCACCGTTTTGGCCCTGGCATGCATACGCCTCTCCCACAAGCACTCCCGTCCTCCTTCCCCTCCCCCTCCTCCAACTTACCACTGCCCTACGCACACTTCCCCACCAGCCTTGCCACCCTCCTCCAACGCCATTCCTAAACACTCCACAAGGCCACCAGGTGGAACAATGCCTCAACCCATGGCACCGTCACATGCTTCGGCCACAATCACCCCCCCCCACCTCCACCCGCCCAGCCCAGCCACTCTCCCCCAACACCTGCCTAACATGTAGAGGCCCCCACAAGGAGCAGCAAGGGGCCCACCCTTTTCGCCCTGGCATGCATACGCCTCTCCCACAAGCACTCCCGTCCTCCTTCCCCTCCCCCTCCTCCAACTTACCACTGCCCTCCTCACACTTCCCCACCAGCCTTGCCACCCTCCTCCAACCCCTTCCACACGAGTCACAATGGCCGCCAGGCCGGGCAAAGCCTCATCCCATGCCACCTTCACATGCTTAGGCTGCACTCACAACAAGTGCCTACCTCCCCTTCCTCCTCTCACACACTCACAACAAGGGCCTAGCTCGCGTTCCTCCCCTCCTCACACTTTCCCACTACAGCAGCCACTCTCCTCCAACACCTGCCTAACATGTACAGGCCCCCCACAAAGAGCACCGAGGCGCCCACCGTTTTGGCCCTGGCATGCATACGCCTCTCCCACAAGCACTCCCGTCCTCCTTTCCCTCCCCTCCTCCAACTTACCACTGCCCTCCTCACACTTCCCCACC